AGGCACGTAGCCAGGATTTTATTTTGGGGGGGTCGAAATATATTGTTAGTACAATTTTTATACTTAATTGATATATAAAACCTATTGCTATTAAGCCCTAATGATTTTATGTGCCGGTGCACAAAAATTTTTTGGGGGGGTGGGGGGGGTCCAGACCCCATGGACCCCCCTCCCCCGGATACGTGCCTGTATTAATGTTTTAACAAAAAAGATTTTTAATTGATGTAGGTACCTACTACAAAAGTTTAAGAAATTAACTATGATATAAATTCCAAAATATTTTGGAACTTGTTGGTGCTGGTCGCTGGAAGGGTGTTTATATTGGAATTTTTCATCACATTTTTATATTTCATTATTTTATTTAATGATAAAATTGGGAGGTTAAACTTCTATTTTAGAATAGTTCAAAAGGTTATGTATAAACACATTTTTGTATTCAAAGGCTGATAATAGTATAGAATTTTAGACTAAAAACTAAAAATAAAATATAAAATAATATACCTAGCCACCTAGGTGTAGAATCTGGATAGGAATGTGTTTTCAATGTGTATAGGAAAGGAGCGATGTCGCTTCTCTGAGGGACATCGGCTAGAATGTTTTGTGCACTGGAAAATGTGGTTTTTAATTTGTCTCTGAATGTTCTGTTATTTAGGTATGTTTTTAGAAGTAGATAATAGGGTGCCGGGAAGATTTTTTTAAGTTTTAATAATGATAATAATTTCAAACGGTGTCAAAGGCTTGAGCTACGTCGAGAAAAAGTCTTGAGCAGTATTTTTTTGTTTCTAGAGATGTAGCAATGTGGTCCACTACGCGGTGGAGCTGGTGAAAAGTTGCATGTTTGGCACGGAAACCGAATTGAAAGCTGGGAAGAGCATTTTGTTTGAGTGCGATAGACTCAAGTCTTTTGAGGAGGAGTTTATCAAAAATTTTTCCAAACGTGGGTAGTAAGCTGATTGGTAGACCAGAGGTATTAAAACTTTTTCAACACGCGGCTCCTTTAGGTGTTCACAATATTTTTACGGCTCCCAAATTATAATGAAAAAATTGAAACAACACACGGATACAATATGGGAAATATGTTATGTGTGTGATAATAACATTGACTTTAGCACTAGAAATTAAACTTCAAATGGTCGGATAGTAAGGTGTGTCGTTTTCATTTCCATAATGATTGCAAATAATATTTATAATAATTATATAAGACCTAGGTATGATGATGGTTTTCGGTGCTTTTACGCGGCTCTCTTTGCAAACTCTCGCGACGCCCCATGGGAGCAGCGACGCACGTTTGAATACCTCTGCAGGTCTATACGATTCAGACATATCAGGTTGTTTGCCTGGTTTAAGTATAGTGATAATTAGTGCTGATTTCCAAGTGGTAGGGAAATAAGATAGCCGAATCATTATTACTTATTAATTTATTACCTATTAACTATCATTATATAACATGTAATTAGGTACTCAATTAAATAATTCTGTTCAGATCGTTTTCATCAAATATCTTGAATCTCGATACTTTTAAGTTTCAGTTCAGCATAGGTGCAATTTTAATAAAAGAAACTAAGGGTGCTGAAAATGCATTTTCTCAATTTAGTTTTTTTTTTTTTGAAAGAAGAAGTTGTTGATACATAAACACGAACATTATTTGAAGGTGCTAATTTTAAACTTGGTGATACTAATACTCCCTACCCCCCCCCCTATTTGCGCAGTTCAGAACGAGATGTTGGTGATGAAGATACCTGTTTCATCAGTGGCAGAGTAATATTTATTGCATTTCTGCAATCTAAATATGGCACATGCAGTCGCACAGATAGGTGTCACTGGAAGAGTTGATGTAACGATATTTAAGTACCCGTAAGTTGGTTTTCAGATTATATTAGTACTTAAATTGAATTCTTTTAACCTAAAATTAATATTTTATGCCACGAATATATAATATATCATATACTCTGGCATTTTTTCCAAACCAATAAAAGGGAACGATTAATTTAAGCGTACGTCACTTAACATATACACAACTTTTATTTTTCGCCTAATATCTATATATCATTGATACGTTTTACACAATGCTTCAAAAGTTAATATTATTTAATTAATTGGTAGAATACTGATAATTTATTGAAATAAAATTAATATTAACTTATTACATAATAATTAATATGTATAATTAGAAATTGTAATATTATATTCATGTACCTATATTGTATAAACTATTAAAATATAAAATTAATGAACAAACATTATAAAGAGTACAATATTTTTCCAGTAGTCAAATTCTAGGTAAGTAGTAGATTTCGACATTGCAGTGTATAGAAGTTTTTATTTTTCAGCAGGTTTACTGCAATCAAAAAATATATACAATATGTCCTCGATTATCCAAACTAATTGGGACCACATCGACATCGCCAAGTTCAAATACGCAAAAGTTCGGATATTGGAAATTAAAAAAATAAATACAGTTTAACACAGTTAAATATTTTATATTATACACAATATATACAGATTTATTATTATTAATGTTATATTAGAGTTACTCACATTACATTATAAGAAACAGGTACATTTCATTTTCATAGTTTGGAACATACAATGTTTGTTATATTTTTATGACAAAATTATCGATTTTCATTTGGCGATGAGCTGCAACGCGCTTTTCTACAACCAAGTTTCACAAAGTTTGGATACGCTAATTGTAGTTCGGATAATAGAGGGTTCGTTTAACCGAAGTTTCCGATAATCGAGGTTTTACTGTAATTTTTATTTTTCGTTAAGAGATCGTAATACTGGCATTTGTTGTCTCTTTCTTACAAGTGCGTAACATACCAAATTTACCCTCAGCACATCGCCGTAGCTTCATTAGTTTAAAAATAAGAGTGAATCTGACTTCTTAAAAAACTTGATGGCAAGAACATTATTTGTGTTTGTATGTGACTTTTTTACAATGATTGAACAATTTTTTAGCAAGTTTTGCATATAGGTACATTAAATATCATAAATTAGATAAATAAACTTTTATTATTTATAACTTTAATTAAATTCATAAACGACTCTTTTTGAATTGTGTGAAACCTCTTTCTCCCGGGGAACATTGGGCATAAAATTTGTCTGCGGGTACCCGTGTTTTGAGTTTTCCCATCATTATTTTTCTTTAATTTAACTTCTGTTGATATTTTTACATAGAATTTAAATATTGACAGTGTCAATTCGACACAATGGTGTCATTTGAATTGTTTTGTTTTCTACATAAAGAACAATATATAAATATTTTCAACATTCGTTAAAACTCGAGAAAAAAAGGTAAATAATAAATATCTATAAGCAATTAGCAATTTAAATACCATTATGCATCTTTAAATTTTTTTTTTTTTTGCACAGTATGAAAATGTTATACATACAATTATAACTCAGTCTAAGAAAGCCAAATAATCTTTTTATGAACCATAATTGCATTTCATATGTTGACAAAATTTGACATACGTATAATATAAAAATGTTCCGGTACAACGATTTTTATTATTTTATTGTTATCCAACTAGTATTAATTGTAGAAACTGCTTTAAATGTTCCACTTTAACCTTAATAATTAAACTTATATTATTTTTGTWGGTACGTGTCAAAAAGCATGGTTTTCACAAGTTATGGGAAGGGGTGTACAAATTTGAAAATTAGGTTACAATTTGTATTACAATAATAATTTTAGTGTGATGGCTTTTATTGCTTTTAAGGCAAATTTCAAACATGCGTGCCAGCGTCACACGACACACACAGTTCTAATTACTTTCAAATTTGAACTTAATCCTTAAAATAATGTCTCAAAAAAAGTAATAATAACTGTGTTTGTATATCACTTATTTAGAGTTTTGCTCTATTTAATGCTGTTCAACATCTACACGAATGACCAACCGGTAACGCAACATTTTATATATTATACGCAGACGACCTGGCGTTAACGGTACAAGGAAAGAAGTTTGAAGAAATCGAAGAAAGACTGGAAGATTTGATAAAATTATAATAGTTATTTGCTTTGAGTACTAGATGGGCAGATGGCATAAGTAGGTAGACAATTGTTGATTGGACTTTGGACATCTTTAAAGAAGTACTACACGATAGTAATAGGTATGTCGATATTGACAATTGACATAGGTAATCTGATTTTAAACTTTCTAGTATAGATACTGAACACGATGTAGAGAAGATCTACATCGTGTAAGAAGACATCTTCTCTACATCGTGATACTGAATATCTTTACTGACTTTACTGTGTTCTGTATTCATAAAAGATAATTCTAAGCTATAATTTATTTTAGTCCAAAGTGGCGTTGCAGTACAATCATATAGATAATGACTTTATTATCTGCGTGAATAGTCGTCAAAGATAAATAATATTATTTGTCTATAAAGAGTATGAGCTTCAGGCTCATAGAGTATTACAGACTACAGATCATTATTATGTCGTATTATTCTAGGGATCTATTCTATAATCGTGGCTATATCTTAAATCGTGGCACAGATATAGATAATACTATTATAGGTTCTCTAGATAATATCATAAAGTCTAATTTAATTTAGTCTTCATAAACAAATCGATAAAACCACGGTCAATCGATWAAATTTAAAATAATTATAAAATATATGTACAGAATACATCATGTATTAATGTATTATCTATATTCATACATTTTGTTGATTAAATTTGTGGTTTTTAGTTTTTTACACAGATATAGATAGTATAGGTTAGATAATATTTATTATCCATATCTGTGGGTTTTTATGATCTATTAATGATAAGAACGCATCGCAGTGACGTCAACAACTACTATACTACAACTGAGATTGGTTTATAAGCTTATGGGGTTTATGGTATTGAGGTGGGTTAATCTCTTTTCCATGGTTGGTACGGTGCTGCGGCCTGCGGCCGGGTCCGGGACACCTTGCGACTATCTATATAGCGAGTTTACGACGCGACCGTCGCTGGCCGTCGCTCACCGGCCACTACTCAGTCGTGCTTGCTCGGCTGCTCTCGCTGCCGCAGTGGCGTCTTACTGCAGTTGTTACTGTCCTATCATTATTTCTCGATTTTTTTTGTTCGATATACGATTTCTTTGTGTGACAGACGGCAGTGCTGCAGCTGCACTGCTACGTGCCTGCGTAGTGCGTGTGAACGTGAACATTGTTCTTCATCGGCCAGTGGCCACACGCTTTAGCGACCGGACGGGATACGTTGAACCTGTTGGAAGACGACGACATGAGCATTGCAATCTTCGTGGCGTTGCAGTCGTCGTCCGTACAGAACGTCGTATCTGCGACTTGCATCTGGGCCAGTGTACTCGGGTACGTACCCATGACCCATGTACTCTGTTGATCATTATTTAATTTTTTTCTGACTGACGCTCGCGCCGCTTTTCGACGTCGTTCTTTGTGCCTTTAATGTATATTGTTGTAGTGCTGGTATTTCATATTGTTAATATTATTTTTTATAAATATAAATGTCTTGCCTATCAATTATCATCATTTATCATCATTATGATTTACAATAACTACCACTATTATAAATTATAATATTGTTGTTAATTCTTATTCTACTCAAGAAACAACTATTAGTCATGTATAGTGCAACTGTTACGTTTTCCTTTCTTATTATTAATTTGGTACTGCTCAACAAATTGTTGTTTTTTCAGTAGTCAGTAATCAATTGGAGACCTACGAATAAACAGCCCAGCCATGCAAGAAAAATTGCCCATATCTGACCCTACAGATGTGCAAGTAGTTTCACAATATCCAGTAAGTATTTTGTATTTAGTCTGGTCCTATTAATAATGAGTATATTATATTGCGTTTAAAAATATCAGTTAAACTTGTAAGCCTAATAAGTAATGATACATGCAAACTCTATTCTAAAAGAAAATACCAAGGTATCCATTTCTGCTCATTATGACTGGCAACTATGATAGCGCTAAGGCTCACACTCTACCATTTACTACCCTATGTGGCTAGCCTATGAACCATGTTTCCCAAAGTTAAATCTCAATATCTTCCCAAATGGTACAAACTTGTCTTGTTTGTTATTGTGGCCTACTCACCACCTGTGAGAAATGTGATTTACTGGATGAAAATCTGCTTGAGAATTTTCTTTTGAATGGAATACCTATAGGTTGCATTGTTGGTTTATATGTGAGTTATGGACACTTACCTAGTGTCCGAGTAAAGTTAATGTATTAATGACCTACACTTTTATTTAGCATATAAAAAACAAAATAATATATAGGTATTATGATTTATGTAAAATCTATCAATATTAAACTATGTTGAATACTCAAAGAGTGGCTAACTTATCTAAATTTGTTATTAATCGAGATATGTAAGTGCTTCTTTTAGGTAATTTATAAGGCAATTATTTTTATAAATTGTGCAAGGGACTATTGGTGTACACAGATATTTTCATTGGGGTGGAGGGAGGGTTTAGTATAAGTGTGTAAATATATATATACATATATATATATCAAAATATTATTTAATTTTATTAATTTTTATACCTACCTCTATAGTCTATACCTATATATTGTACAAAAATACTGGGTGCATTGAACATTCATTGTGAACGCCACTGCAGATGACCTATTCTTCAAAATATTTACTTAGAGATGCCATCCCTGGAAGACTTCACTTTTCTGGTCCTGATTTTTCCAACATTCCATTTATAATTACTTATTATATCTATTACTGTAGAAATTTTAAATATATTTATACATGCAATTTTAAAAAATGTAGGTACATGTATGACATTGTATTGTTACATTTATAAAATTCAAACTTTAGTATACAGGTCAATTGAATAAATATAGTTTTTACTGCATGTTTATTGTTAAATGTGCTGTTTGTATCCATTATATCAAATAATTAATATTGTTATAATATTTATATATTTAACTTATTAAATGATTATTGATTAATGAGCCATATCTGTATAAAACTAGTATGATAATATAATATATTTTTTATTTTAAAATTTATAAGCTGACATATTGTCTTGTATTTCAATTTTAATTATCAGTAGTTATGAATACATTTATATTGGGAATAAAGGTACAAACACAGTATAATATTTAAAAAAAAGTTTGTAATATAGTTTGAAAATTACAATTAGAGATAAACAGAGTCTATAAAAGTTTATAAACATGAGTTCATATTTTGCTATAACTATTTTTACTTATTGTACGTTTATGTTTAATTTTAATTTTTTTTTATACCAAATTCAAATATATCTAGGTCATTTTAAGGTCATTGTGTCCTTAGCCCTACTGATAATTAATAACTGAATTCTGACAATTACTTTAATCTTAGTTGAATATTTGAGTAACTTTATGTTGTATTGGTTAGTGTTGTTAGTAATGCTGTGCACCTACTATACCAATTCTGTCAATGATTATATATATAATTAATATGGATTTAAAGTGCAATTAAACTACAATTACTTGATCCAAAATTCATGACAAATTTTTTCATTTACTTCTTTTTTATAAACATATAAAATATCTGTAYCTATTATTTAGGTGTGAGATCATAAATTTACTGTTTAATGGAAAYGATTCTTTCAGAAAACCATTTATTGTCTTAATTTTAGTTTTATAGTACTACAACTACACTCTAAATAATTGTGTAAATTTTTACTATAACTCCAGTGATAAAACCCAGCCAATTGGACATTATGTAATATTATATTTATTCATATTTATTGACATGGCCATATCCGAGAATATCATKATAATAATAAATTAGGTATAATAAAAACATGGTGCTAGTTTTGTACATACTGTATAATGAAAAAAAGTTGATTTAGATAACCCAAACAATTTTTATTAATATTCAATTATTTTTAGACTATAGAGAATAACTTCATGTGATAGCAGGGCTAGATTAAAAAAATTTGGTCTACTTACAAACTTAATATCTTAATATGACTTAAACGGCCTAAAATTGTCATGGCTCACCATGTTTTACTTGGTAACTTGCCGGGCCAATCCAGCCCTGGGTACTTTACCTTCTGCCAAACATTGACATCATTAGTTTTTTAGACCACCTAATCTATGTATACATATATAAACATAATTAAATGTAAGCTGATAGATATTTGTTATTACCTAATAGTTTCTCAATTTATTGGTTATTTATCATAACACATAATTAATTTTTTTATCTTGAACTGAAGGTTATTAAACTTAGATTTAAAGTAAGTATTTTTCTGCTTGTCAAAAAAAAGAAAACAATAACAAATCYATGAAACAACCTTATCATCCTTTATATATCACCTACACTTTAGATTATTTTTTTATTTAATAACCTCAATGACCTATAAGACTATTCCTGGCTATACCTTCATAATTACAAACTAATTTTTAATATAAAATGTATCAAGTTTGTACCTAGCTAAAATTGTTTCCATTTAATTTACATTAAAAGTTTTAATAAACTTTTTTTTTTCTGAAATTTAACATCTAAAATTATAATTTCTAATACATATATACATTTAAAAAGTTGGTACTTATTTAGTTACATCTAAAGTCATATCAAAATCTACATTTCTATGATTCACAATGAGTTTTTATACATCTACAAGTGATTAAACTATTATTTTATTCTAGACTTAAATATTTTTTCAACTCATATTAATTGATCATTAGGTATACATATTGTTCAAAATTTAAATTCTTAAAAACATTTTGTTTTGTTTTCTAAACACCCTATAGTATAATATATTAAAGGTGCGGTCAAACAGGGCGTGTTTACGGACTGTCAGTACGCTGATTGCGGCGGGCAGCAATCCAGTTGTTTTATTTTACAGAGACGACGCGGGCAGCCTGCTTTGTGTTTGAATGTGCCTTAAATGTATCATTTTTTGCCGCCTTATATTTATATAAATAGATTAATTTTTAATTTATTTAACCTATGGAGTGCGATTAATAATATTGTGATATTTTAGTTTGTCAGCAATTTTTTTTCTTTAGATACCTATTATAGCTAAGTTGGTGATTTTTCTTGTATAGAGTGCTTACTGCTTAGAATGTTGTTTTTACTTTATTTTTTTTTATTAATTTCTGGTTTGAAAATAACATTTTAATAACTTGAAAGTTATATTTTATTATGCTATTACTTTTATAATACTTTTGTACTAATCTACTTCCCATATTTTCTACTTAAGGAAATTTGATGTGGTATATTATAAAAACTCTAATGTCATTGATATGTCAGATTTTGATAATTCATTTTTATTTGAAAGATAAGAATTTTTTTAGGTCAGATCAAAGCACATATTTCTGTAAAACTTTAAATATTCCTAAAAAAATAGGTTTGAAAAATAATAAATATTATGCATTGTTTAAATTTATAACTTAGCTTCTGTAATTAAAATTTTGAAATGCTTTGCCAATGCCAACCTGCAAAATGTTATTATTTTAAATTAAAAAAAGTTAACAGTATCCGAATATTCTACAGGATGTAAGAGTTTTTCTGACAAGATACATTTTTGTATTAAAAACGCTCATTGGCTCCAATGCCTTTAATTGTTAACTTTTAATACATTCAATTGAGGTCAGCTAATATATTATAGTTAGGTATTAAAAATTACAACATTTCTATTATTGGTGACTCACTCAAACTACAAAAAATAAATTGTACTAGTGTCCCTCTGAAAAAAAATTGACTTTAAACTTTAATCATATGATATAATCTTTAATGATAAACATATTTTTTTACACAAAACTTGTTACTGAAACAAACCTTTTATTATTAACTAATAATCATTATGTATTTCTAAAAAAAATATTAAACTTTATTATTTTTACTTTTAWTTTTGTTTGTTTTATATGTATGTTAATAAAATAAAAAATTCTGTTTTTGATTTTACTCAAACCCTAGTACTAAAAATCTTATTTAATTACTACATTTATTTAATAACTTATTAGGTATTATTATTTATTTAATATTCACAGCTCATTAATTAATTAATTAAGTGGTTATTGAATGCTTATTATCTTTATAATATACTTAATATGATTAATTTATCAAATATAATTTAACATATTTGTAATTGACGCATATTTTCTGTGTTTGCTCGTTTAGTAATTTTATGTTATGTAATTGTTAGTCATGTCTCATATGCAATAGTATTTATTTTATATCATAAATACTCTATTGCTATCCACACTAAAGATAGTATCAACTATAGGATTATTATTTTGTATAAACTATATTGATAATTTTGAGCACCATAATATGTTAAAAAATAATTATCCATATATTAGTGTTTATAATATTTATTTAGTTTATGATTATTATTCTAAAAAAATGTAATATTTGATATTTAAAAAAAAATATGTTTCAATTGCTTAAAGGTGCTTATTACTATTTAAAAGATATTTGTGGTTTATGATGTCTATCATATTAATTCATTGTTTATACTAATTACTGCCAATGTGAAAAATAGTACCTTTTTACTATAAATAAAACAAATAATGTAAATATAGTATCCGTTTTGTTCTTTCARATGTATGTTACTAAATATCATATATCCATTGACTTAAATATTTTTACTAATTTATTTTTCAGAAAATGAAGAATGATGAAGGATTTTCTAGGAACACAAGTTTTTCCTCTATGAATTTTGACATTTGCAGGTATATTTTTCTAAAGTTATCAGATTTTTATTTGTTAAAAAAAAAAAAATGGTTGTAATATAAATAATATTTAAACGTAGAGATATTTTCATTTTTCAGTTCCTCCCACATTAGTGTTAACCATAGTTGTTTTAGATACATAAGCAATCTATAAACATTAAATTAATCTATATAAATCTAATGTATTATAGTCCCTTAAAATATATGATTCGTCCAATTTTATTTTAGTGAACTACAATGAGGTTAATCTATTTTTTTATGCTACTCAACATTAATGTGGTATAATTGATATTGTACAATATACACAATGATAATTTCATAAAACAAAATATTACTATACACTGGTTATAATATAATTATTATAATTGTTTATATTACTACCTATCAAATTGTTGGACATTTTTAATAAATTAATAACTTTTAAAATAAAATACAAGATAGTACGAAAACAAAAACAAAAACTTTTAATTATAAATTATTTCAGAAAAACAATTGCAATCCATGTTCATATTTTGATTATTTTTGTTTAGAATATGTCACTGTGAAGGCGACATTGACACACCTTTGATAGCACCATGTTACTGTGCTGGTTCATTACGATTTGTGCATCAAGTGTGTTTACAACAGTGGATTAAATCATCAAATATACGATGCTGTGAATTATGTAAATTTCAGTTCATTATGCAAACCAAAACCAAACCATTCAGTCAAGTAAATTTATTTTATTATGAATTAAGATAATGTGTATCTTAAATCTTGTATTTTTAGTGGGAGCATTTAGAAATGTCTGGTATGGAGCGTAAAAAGTTGGTATGCGCAATGCTGTTTCATATAATTGCTATGACATGTGTTTGTTGGTCCCTCTATGTACTTATGGATCGAACGTTGGAAGAAGTTGAACGTGGACAGTTGGACTGGCCATTTTGGACAAAACTGATTGTTGTCGGTATTGGCTTTACAGGTGGTGTTGTTTTCATGTACATACAGTGCAAGTCATATTTTATGCTTTGCCAAAGATGGAAAGCATATAATAGGTAACTTATTAATCAAAATATTTGGATTTTAAATATACCTAAAATGTTTTCTAATTTATTTACTACTTAATTATGTTTAGGGTAATATATGTACAAAATGCCCCAGAAAAACCACGAAAAAATCAAACTATACTCATTGATGTTGCTGAAAGTAGCTCAGTTGAAACTAATGCGGCTACATCAGTTGTGCCTTTTAAACCACCTATTGAACAAAATGATGAAACCAGTATTGATCTCAAAGGTGTACGTAATGTTCATATATTTTTTAATAATGAAGATAATCCCATTAGATTTCAAGAGGTCGATAATCGAGAACAAGAAGTTGTTGAAAAACCAATTTCAAGTGACACTGGAACCTCGTGGCATATACAAATAGGAAAAACTCAAGGAGAAAATCCTGAAGGTGAATGTAACCAAGCAGCTGTATGTCAAAGCAATCAGTCAGACCCATCTTTTTTGAAATTACAAATTAAAACAGCAGAAATAGTTATCAAATTTGGACAAAATGAAACTATTCCTAATGAAAATGAATTTGACAACAAAAACGTTAACATTCAAATTGAAGAATCAAAATCTAAAAATGACGTGCCGGATATTGCAAATCCAGTTCAAATACGATTGGATTTTGGAAGGGACAAGAACTATGAAGACATGGAAGAAGCCCACGGGTCTCCTTCCCAATCGCCATTATTATCATCTAGAAGACTCTCTAACTATAGAGATGATAAATAATAACTGAATATACTTATTATAAGCTAATCTGTGATTTTACAGAAAATAAAACATCATAGAATTTATTTTCTTCCCACTAAATTCAAAACCATTTTTTTCTTTTTTTTTCGAGCATTTATTTCAAATAATCGTTTATAGATTTTGAACACAGAAAAAAAAATATTTTCTTCTTTTTATATACTTATATTTTATGTTAGTATTTAAGTTTTTATGGATTTACTCATGTTTAGAAGCTCAATTTTTAATAAGTGTGGTTTTTATTAGAATATATTATTTTTAATCACATTATTATTAATAAATAATTTATGATGATGAATGATGATAATGTAAATTTTTGACCCGGCAAAGACTGAGTTACAAATATGTGATGTTAAATTTCAAAAGTTTTATGTATTTCATTTTTGAATCAACTCATCATTATATATTATATATATATATGAATGTCTCTTATTAATATCACTTATGTTATATACATAAAAAAATTATTGTTTTTCAAGTCATTTTGATTTTTCTTTATTAATGTATAACGTAAAATAATTTTGTTTTAAGTTTCATTTGTATTGAATAATTGTGTATGATGCTAATATATGTGATTTGTTATACAAAAAACATTAAAATATGTAAATGTCACTTAACATAGAGTTATTATTGCTTGTTGTAGAAGTATATAAGAGATTGAATGATCTATATGTATATTACATTATTAATTATTTACTACACATATTATTCTTTGACACAATATCTGATAAACATAAGGTATACATTAAAATTAAATAATGTGTTTGTTTCAATTTATTTTATGTTAATACACTATTTAATTATTTTGCTCCTTAAACTATAAAATTAATTAAAATATATAGTCTATATTTACAAATAACTATTATTTCTCATTTTAGTCAATTGATACAACACTAGGTTTGATTCAATTTTACCTTTTACCTATAGATATGCGATGTATTCTTGTTTATTTGCGTTTCCTTAGTATTTAAAATACAAATCATAATTATCACTAATGTTGCAATGGTATAATATTCACATGTGGTGACGGTGAGTCACAAATCATTAAGCGTACAACCCATTTATCGCACTCAGGGATCAGTCATTTCTAATATGAAATATGTACAACACTCACGTAATATGCCAGATTTTCAAGGAAGAAATTGGAGTGAACTGATTTAATTTTGAGTGTTCAAGAAGTTACACGTTCAATATTTGAGCGATACATACCAACCTGTATTGGGCTTAGACTTCGATACAAGTCGGAACATAACTATTCTCAGTCGATGCGTATCGAATTCTTCTTGAAAAACTTGATGGTTACACGTATGGGGGCTATCTCTTGTTGATAATATGGTCTTTGTTGATGTTTCCAGAGAGAATAGATGGCCGGAAATGGGATATAATGTCCAAATAAAGATAGTCCTTTAAAAGGGAGAATATTGTATTTAAGCGACCTTATCTCTCTGGCTATTGTGGTTGTATTGTCTGATCCACAGTGTATGGGCAACAACCTGTTCTCTGAATATCGAAATAGTAATTATTGTCAACTGGACTTCTTTATAAGCAGTACATTTTCTTATATTGGATGACGAAGACATCACATTCCAGAAATCGAGAGATGCATTATTTTATTTCAATTTTCAATTTTGAGTACGTTTTATTTTTGGTATTTTTTTTTTACGCTCTTGTGATAGTGGCAGAGTGAGGGGTGGGTGGTAAAAAAAAATTGTAGTCACATCATCTGCTACATAAGTTTGCGCACGCCTATGATATGTGAATACGCTTAAGCCCTAACTCACGATTCAATTTTTTTTTATAAATCTAAATTTATAAATTCTAGTTTGGAACGGCGATGAAGATGAGTTAAAGAAAATAATGATCCATTTAGCAGCGCCGCAATGGGTTTCTCCAAAAGAGTACCTACCTAAATATTCATGTTTAAGTTCTTAGAAACCTAAAATTTATATTTTTTATTGTCACCAACTACAACAAGCTACTTAGCTATTAGCCATATAAATGTAGAATGGAAGGAGAAGTATATTTTATTACCGAGTGCGAGATTCAAAAAATACATAATAATTCCGAATTAGCAGTGTGGGTCCAGAACGGCCAAGTGTCGAAGTCGTATACTTTTACAGTTTTACGAATTTCGCCGATTACCGTCAATCGAATAATAAATGATAATATTATATTAATATATGAAATATTAATTATAAATAGTACACACACACTATCGTCTAAGCTCCAGGCTTTTCGACTTGAATATAACCAACATTTTAATGGACATACATCGAATAAATAAAAATAAAAATAGTTTTAAATGTGAATGAATGTGGCATAAAAAGAGCCAATAATATTTTGAAAATAATACAATATATTCCCTTATCCAGCTGTTTTTGATAGTTTTTCCCAATTATTATATGAGCACTTGATATTTTTTAAATTTTTTTTTGACTCCGCAAAGTACACTTTCTATTAAAAGTCTAAAACCACACTTTTTATTTTATTAAGGATAGAAATATTGTTAATGCTCAAAAATATGACGACAGACGGACAATTTAAAATGAAAACACGATAAATTACAATAATTTCTGAAGTTAATAATTCGTGTTAGTTTTTTTTAAATAAATTTTTAAACTTTTCCCAGCTGCTCTTGGTAGAGCTCTAAATCTAGAGGACACCTAATAAATTATTTGTTGAAAAACTAATTATTGTGAGTAATTTTTTAGGGATTAAGAATCTGGAGATTGTAGCAGGCTGTAGTCTTCAGCGTAATATATCTTTATTCTATACTATACATTTTATAATTGAATATTAGATTTTTTTTTTGAAATGCTTTTGCCAGAGAGTGTCCATTTCCATAACAATTTTTTTTTTATTTACTTTTTAAATTTTTACTTTTACCGGATATTTTGGGAGACTTTTAAATAAAATTTAACAACTCAAAAAATAATATAGAAATTATAAGTATAACTTAAAAATAAAATTCTATGGTTATAATTTGTTTGTTTTATCGTCATTCACGTGACACAACAATTTCATATATTATAAAAAGATAGTTTGTTGAAATCAGTTTTTCAACATGTGAAAGCCACTCAACTGTATAGTATAGTTGCACAGATTGATCTGCAGAACTATAAATCAGGAGGGGTGATCATAGTCAAAAATTTCTGATAATATAGTATAAACTATTTATTGTTTTTGAAAGAGATAAAACAATATTACATGAAATATCAGGGTGGTATGCCTCTTGGCAACTCCCCGCAGGCGCTCATGTATTTGCGGTCATTGAACAGATTATTGATCACCATTAAGATGTGTTAGATTCGGATTTAATGATAATTCATATCATACAAAAAAAAAAGAAATACATATTTTTCTAGTTAAGTATTAAATAGTATACTATTAATTTGAATGGTTTTACCACTATATTCTAATATTATTATTCCTCTACATAATGATAATAAAACCAACAAAAATCTGACCATGAAAAAAAGACCTAGTCCCCCTTGAAACCCATTTTGAATTGTGTACAACCGTCAACCACTTTCTCTCGGTGAACGAAATATACTTTACCCTGATGAGCTAAAATAATAATATAATGAACAATATAATATTGTCAATATTAAATTGATCACTGTTACAATAATGTACCTATTTTGCCTATATAATACGCCGTAAATACATTATGTTTGTACGAAGTATGTAAAAGATCAAATATTTTACATATTACTAGATGTATTAAAGTATTACTCGGCGTTACCTGGGGAATAAACGAAACCAAGATAGGCAATGGCTTTTCGGTGGATAGTAATAAGTTATACTTATTTACTATTAAGTTTTACCTATTTATTTATTTTTAATAAGGAACTTTTTCTTATGTGTAGTATTTAACCAATCTATACCAAACGACAGACAATTTTATATTTCATTCGAAATTTCTAAAGTTTAGAATCTAAACAATAACAGACCAGGTGGCTGACGTATGACGTCAATGTTCACTAATCTATCACCACTAAAACAGCTGTATCCGAAAATTACCCCAATATGTTCACCCCACCTTTACCAACCACCTGTCACTGCCGTTACAGCAGAAGGAATGAGAACCCGTATTTTAGTTCATGTTAATTCTTTTATCACTAGTAAAAACAAACAAAATAGCCTGTTGTTGTGATATCAGAGCTTTTTCACTTCCCCTGGCCTTTTAATTTTATTGCTAATTGGTATTTCCAGTTTCTGATTTTGCCTCTTTGGTGTTGTCAACGACTCAAATGTGTTTCATATTATCATGGTTATTTTTCTTTGAAACTGACTAAGTGATGTACGCTAAATTTTAACGGTTAAAATTAATATAGATTTGTTGCATGAATATATTTGTGACATTTGTGTGTTAACTTTAGGTTCTTTGTTATCAAAGAATAAGTAGATTTGGTCGAAAAATAGATATATCACTACTTAATAGTGGAGAATTTGTTTGAAGACAGTTTGGGACTTGACCTTTTTTCTTGGTTAGATTGTTGTTGGATATCATTCCTTTTTATGCCGACTCCTGCATAGTGGACATTTTCTTTGGCTAAATACGATATCTATTCCACACCTATCATTATCATCTACATAAATTKGTATCATTTCATTCTTGTGACGGTGTCACATCCACTCGTACTTAGTACTTACTATGATTTAAATTCCTGTGACTATACGTTTCTACCTTTTAATTCCTTAATTTATTCAATTTGAATACCATATTTTCACAATAGTCTGTTGATGATGCCGCTAATATTTTCAACGACGCTTTTCGTAGTGCTATTGAACAGTTCGTTCCCAGTAAAAGCTTTAAGACTTTAAATGCTTTACATTTCCACATCGGGAATCTTGTCCATTTAAAAACCTAATTTTTTTTTTTAAGTGAGCATATGTGTCATTTATGCAATCCAAATCCAAATTATTCAACTTTCTCTCATATCCAAGCTAAATGTAAAGATTTAGCGAGGTCTAATTACAAGAAGTTGTATTAATTCAATCCAGCCCATCTTCTTATTAATTTTAATCAGCGCATTTAACGC